CTGAGCAGGTTTCATGAGATTCAGTCCCGGTGTGAATCTGAAGGGCTGAAACAGGCTGTGATGCTGTGACTCTCAGTGCCAATGCTTTCTGTGAAGCTGAAGATCTGTTGACCTTGACCGAGCAGCTGGCAAATCTGAAAGGTGTCTGTGTGTTGGAGGAATTCAGCGCGAATGAATTGAAGTTTTCCTGTAAGTGTTGGCAAAGTAGTGTGATTATAGTTCAATCTTTACAGCTCCATCTGCAGCAATTGGATTGGAGGTTCCCATGACTGCTCAAATGCGGCCGTCTGCTCATCTAGCCATGAAGAACTCCATTTCAGCCCGTTTATAATGCAGGTCTGAGGTCTTCTGGGTAAAACAGATCAGTCATTCGACTCCAGGAGACGCTCTCAGTATTGCAGATATTCTCTTCAGCTCATAACATGAGAAAGAAAGTCATTTTTTTATCAAGTTATCAGCTTTGATAGGCTGCTGCAGACTCGAATGAGGCTCACAGGTCACTCTTTCAGAGACTTCATGGAGACCTCAGTTATTATTTCCACTAAAATATCACGTTCATCACAGATGTTTCTTCAACAGTTCTTTAGGAGAAATACAAATAAACACACATGCGTCAATAAATGTCAGCCGGTACAGTATAGAGCTATAAAACTAATGTAGAATTATTGATTTTTTGAAATAGTTAACAATTTGCATTTTGATATTATTTTAATGACTTTAATACTTTAATAGTTCTAGTTTTAATTAACAGTATCAACACTGTTCTATTTTAAGTTATATATATATATATATTTTGGCCTATTTTAATAGTTTTAGTTTAACAGTTTTAGTTAACGATGACACTTTTCTGTTTTAAATTATTATTATTATTATTTGCATATTTTAGTACCATTAAGTTTATTTGGTTGTTTGTTTGTTTGTTTGTTTTTATATTATTTTTATTAATTTAATAGTTTTAGATTTAGTTAACAATAACAACATTGTTCTATTTTAGATTATTTATGTATTTGTTTAGCATATTTTTGGACCTCTAAGAATTTTTTTCTTTTTTTTAATTATTATTATTTTTATTATTATTATTATTATTATTATTATCGTATTATTTTTATTTATTTGTTCCATTTTGTTTAATTGTTTTTTTTTTTTGCAGTTTGTTATTAATTAATGAATTTAATAGTTTTAGTTTTATTAACAATAACAACATTGTTCTTTTTTAATTTATTAATATATATTTTCGGCCTATTTTACGACCATTAAGATATTTTTTTAAATGTATTTATTTATTTATTATTGCATTTTGCATTTTGATATTATTTTAATTAATTTAATAGTTTTAGTTTTCTATTATAAATATTTTTTTTGCATATTTTAGTATCATTAAGGTTGTTTTTTTTCATATTAATGACAATTAACCACAATTACAATCACAAACTGTAAGTGAATTATAAGTGTATTATAGTATTTTTTTACAGTACTGGGAGTAATTATTAATAATTTGAGGCATGAAGATCTCATAAATACTTAAGAGGGAGACTTAAACAAAACTTTCCATTTGCTCTGATTTCTGTCCTAGCGAAAAATCTGACAAAATAAAGAGACATAGTAGTCATCTGTTTCCTGTAGGGTTGGTAACACGTTTGCATTTGTCTCCTGTTTCATCACTTGCATGTCAAAACTTTTAACAGCATTTCCAACTTTCGGTTGAACATTTCACAGATGATAATATGGCACAGCTGGCACAGCGACGTGTTCGCTCAAACGAATTAGCACTAAACCGCTGAACACTAATATATGCAGAGCGCATTATTTCTGTATTTATAGCTCGTCGTCTGCAGGAACAGAATGCAAAAAAACACAGTATTCTTCTCAAAGCAATTACCATATAAAGGACAAAACCGCTGTGAAAGACTGACAGATTCAGTACATCAGAGGAGGGAAAGGGGTCAACGTTTTGAACGGACGGCTCAGGTTCGCTGAACAAAACCACCCACCACGACTCAAACCCTTGACAACATGCACGAAGGTTATGCTGTCTGTGCGATAAAAGCCGTCTTTTCCTTTCAGAACTTTGCTGTCATTTAATGGCTTTTGTGCTTTTCTCCGAGTCTGGACAGCTGTGTGTTTTCAGAGTAAACTGTGCTTGCCAGGGGCGCCTTAAGGTAACCAAAGCCCCCTGGGCTACAGCGTTACAGTAGAAATACAGTAGACCCCAGAAAACCTCTTTTTTTTCCATTTTTTTAAAGCTTCCTAACAATCATTTGTCAAATTTAGTTTTTTGTCTTGTTAATATGCCAGTTAACATTCGCAACACTGTTGTGCGTAAAATGTGAATATAAGCGAATATGCAAATTCACTCTTTGCCACAAAGTGGCGCTTGTGGAACAGCAGAATTATATAGCCGTTACATAAAGTAAACACTATGTTATTACGGATTTGCTGGGGTGGGGTGGGGTGGGGGGGATTTCCCCCCCTCTGGTCTACGCATCCCTGCCTCTGCTGAATTATTTTTATCTCCGGTGGGGATAAAAAACATCCCGCGGACAGTGCCGAAGTCCACATCTGAATCAAATGATTCATTATACGCGAGCCAATTGGATTGCTTTGAAACAGTGAATCATTTTGCGACGCAATGGTTTAACTGATTCGGAGTTTCAAAAAGCTCCGTTGATACTGTAAATGCTCTTTGCTCACTTTCCTATATAATTTATTCGTTGTTTGAATAACCATTGAAATTAAATAATTAATCGGCCTAATGTTTTTACTAAATTGTGATCACGTTAAATAGCCTACCTTTTCAGTCGTATTAATAACATTTTGTGACATTACACACATTATCTGGTACTTGCCTAAAAAGACGGGTTTATGATGTGCTTTGTTAACAGATTACACTAACATTATACTTTAAAGCCTTGCTCTGAAAAAAAACGTTTTCAAAATGAAAGGAAAATACCATCAAAACTTTCCTGGCTGAAATGTGAGTTTACAGGTATGATTTAAACACCATAAATCGCACAAAATATTAATTATTCATCATCAGTTGATAAAAACAACACTGCATGTTGGCATAGGCTAAATGTGGGTTATTTGGTGATTGCTAACTGCGTTTTATTTTGAAACATGACGTGCTCACGTTTAATTAGTTAAATCACAGCCATATAAAGTTTAATGATCACATTTAAAGGGGTCATATGATGTTGCTAAAAAGAACATTATTTGGTGTATTTGGTGTAATGAAATGTGTTTATGCGGTTTAAGGTTCAAAAAACACATTATTTTCCACATACTGTACATTATTGTTTCTCCTCTATGCCCCGCCTTTCTGAAACGCGTCGATTTTTACAAAGCTCATCGTTCTAAAAAAGCGAAGTGTGCTGTGATTGGCCAGCTATCCAGTGCGTTGGGATTGGCCGAATACCTCAAGCGTGTGACGGAAATGTTATGACCCTCACCATACTGTGATGATGCCTTGTCCGACCAGAGCGATGATTCAAAAACATGAAAACTCATTATAAACGAGGCATTCGTTGTATCCAGTGGGGACATAATTACTGTTTATAATGCCTTA